CCAGGCAACTTGGCGAGAACTCGTCTCTACAGTAAATCAAAAATTAACCAGATGTGGTACCATGTGCCTATAGTTCCGGATTCTTTGAGGGTTGAAGCGGAAGGATCGCCGGAATCCAGCAGGTTGAAGCTGTGGTGGCTATGAACATGCCACTGCACTCCAGCCTGGGTGACAGAGTGAGATTCCAACACACACACACACACACACACACACACACACACACACACACACACACACAAAGACAAGGTTCAAAATTTAAAAAGCAGTAGTATAGCTATTAGGTGCGTCTGCAGTTCCAGCTGCTTGGAAGGCTGAGACAGAAGGATCACCTAAGCCTAGCAGTTTGAGGCTGTGGTGGCCATGAGGATGCCACTACACTACAACCTGGTCGACAGAGTAAGACTCCAACTCAAAAAAAATAGTTTTAGTAAATTGAAGGTCAGCATTACTAGGTGTTGACCAAACTACAAGCTTGTCACTGGCACGGAGAATTCAGTTCACCTGAGGGAAGTATAGAAGAGTAAACAGAAGTCTGTTACTTTGAATAGGCCAACTAAGGGTGGGCATTTTTTCCCACATATTGAGTGCATCTCTGGTATCCTGAGGTCTTTGGGCATCAGATTGGGGTGTGAGACTTCAAACTGTATAATATTTACAGGTGGTACTTACGTATGCCCTTTGTTTCTTCCCCAGCCTGATATGGAAATCCTCTTTAGCCAAGAATGTGGCCAAGAGGTAGCTTTAGTAGAAGCCTGACTCTTTTACATCTTCGTTGAATTGGAAGTTTCCTAGTTTAAGGTAAGTAACCTTATAGAGTTAGGAACCTGAAATAATGGTGTTATATTGATGAAATTGGATAAACTTACTTCGAGAGGAATATTAGGGATCCTCAGGGTGTTTGGGTAAGGTTAAAGGTAGAGACAGGAACTTTAGAAGGATATGCAGTTAATACTTGTTAGTGGATTGGAGTGGGGATGGCTGATCCAACATGTTGTTAAATTGGGTCCCTGGGTGACCCAGTGTGAGAAATGGAAATAGATGTTACTATTTTAGTTTCCCAGGAAACAAGAAATTGTTAACTCTGCTAACCATAGAAAGAAAATAAATTTTGGTTTTGTTTTTTGGCATTCAAGCAAATACTAATGTGTCCCTGGAGGATTGCAAGTAAGCATCGATAATACCCAAGTAGAAAGCACACGTGTGTATAATGACCCAATAATAAGAGCAACCCCATGATGAGACAAGGGTTGCCACCTCTACTTCCCTTTAGCAGTCTTGGGAGGTTGTCTTTTGAATAGGAACTTTTGGTCCTTGATAAGCTCACAGATGCATTCCTGGTCTGTGGTTGCAGCCTGAGGATTTTGAGAATTGTCTTCCTTGTCATCCTGAGGCTTCCCATCAACTTCAATAACTAAGCAGATTTTTTTTAGATAAAGGTCCAGGACAGGAAGGCAAAACAGAAAAGGTGACAAGTTAGAGGACAGAGAATCTTCTTTGTCATCTCTAGAATACCCTTTGGCTCTTCCCCCATTATAGCAATGGTCTGTTGGGGAGCTGCCAAGAACCTAAAGCTTGTCAGTTGGACATGGCCATGACTTTGGTCCTCTCTTCAGGGTTCTAGGGTAAGCCTTTTGCCAGTGGCCTTTTTGTCCAAATCTAGGGCATGGACCCTTTTCAGAGACTTTCTGGGTACTTGTTTTTTCTCAGTGGCCTGTTTTTTCACAATTGAAGCAAGCTCCCTTTGACTGGATTTACCAGCAGTTCTCTCTTGAGATGGCTGCCCTAACATTATTGCAGCCAAAAGTCTGACTTTTTAAAAATTTACGTTTTTCCCTGGCCTGATCTCAGCTATTGGAAACTGAGAAGTCTGCATTTAATAGCTGGGGTGAGGGAGTTTGTGGTCCCCTATCTAATTTTTGTAGTTTCCTCTGGATGTCTAGGGCAGATTGGTTAATGAAATGAATGTTTAGAAATATTTGTCTATCCCAGGAATCAGTGTTCACTTTTGTATATTTCTTTAGGACTGCTACTAGACTAGCCTAGAACAAAGCTGGGTATTCATTGTCCGTTTGGGTAATTTCCTTGACTTTGTTGTAATTGACAGGCATTACTTGAATGTTTTTCATAATAAGGTTAAATGACAAAGTCAATTTTGTAACAAGCTTACTAGGGCTTTCAGAGAACTTGCCAAATTTCTCCTTACATAATCCCAGATCACTTATGGCGAAAGGGATTTGCATTCTGAGAAAGCCTTCCTTATTGTTTGGCATCTTATGAAGGAGTCAAGGTCCCTTAGGGGGCTGGTAAGCAGCACCACTATGAGTACTAGCAGTTAGTTAGAGAGGGGTGGAAACTTGGGGGTTGAGGCTTAGGTGACTGATAAGCAGGAGGAGGATCAGAGAGAGAACTTGGAGCAGGAGACGGTTTTGAAGCATTGCTGAGAAATCCGAATTTATAAGGATATCTTCCTCAGAATTTGAGTTCCTTGAGGTACGTATTGCCATGGCTCTTGCCTCTACCCGGCCCTGAGTAGGGACTTTAAGAGCAGGTCATCCAAAAATCAAACTTAACCTTATTCTTAGATTTGACAACATATAGGTGGTAAGACAGATGGACTCCTATATCTGGATTTGGGTACAAAGCTGTGAAGGCTTCAACATATGGAACCTCATTTCATTTTTTTTGTCTTTTGCCAAAGAGGTTTACTTGGAGGATGGTATCATAGCTTAAGCTCCCATTACTTCTCCAGATTATTCCTTCCTCTAGCTTGTATTGTGACCAGGCCATATTGCAGAGGAAAATTATGTTTCTTTTTTTTTAAAGGAAGTTAAGGACAGAGTATTCCAATGTTTTCATATACAACCTAGTGACATAATTAAGAAAACTGATGAACCAACTTTCATATCTAGGAAAGAAAAGAAGAACGAAGGCAGTTATATTATAGTCCAAGCTGCATAAGGGCACAATTGGTCCTTTTATTTTTAAATAAAGAGAAAGAAAGAAAGTGGGCTCATCCTCTAGTGCTCACTGCACCAAGGAACAAGAGTAGTCTGGGTTGTACCCATCGTCAGCTTCTTGTCCACCTTGTGGCCAGACATCCTCAGCGTCACTTTTAGCCTTAGCATCCTGGCACTAAAGGTTCAAACTTGCTTGGGTTTCAGACACGAGAGGACCATAGGAGAATTCCCATGGTTAATGGAGGTGGGTGCATGCTGCCCATGCATTTTCAGCAGGCCTGCCCCTGTTGCAAGGCCATGACTGAGTACACACCAAGGTCATATTGAACCTTGCCCACCAGTGATTACTCTACTGACACAAACTTGATTTCTCAGATATTTTAATCAACTCATTGGGAAAAAACCAGCAAGATGAAACAGGGTAGAGACCTGATCTGGAAGAGGGTTGGGAGGGCTATCTGAACCAGAGCTGGTTGGGTTGAGTTCATGGACAGCCCTGCACACTGGGATGAAGTGGTTACTAGAATGCAGGATGAAGATATCTTGAACTTCAGAGTTAAATATCATGCCCAAATCATTTGGGAGGACACACAGGAGAGACATTGTAGAATACATAAAAGATGATGATGTTTAAAGAAAGGGTAAAGCCTGAAGGAGGGATCCTCAGATGAATCTCATCATCCAATCCATGGCAGAGACAGCAGTTTGGTCCGTTCAGGGCAGCAGTAATCAGTGAGAGAGATGAAGTCTAATAGCTGTTTGGGGTTGGGGGAGACCATTAAAATTGCCCAGATGAAATAGTGGCCTTTATTTTAAAGACATGAATATGTTTCCAAGCCGACAGAAATTTGATTAGAGAGAACATGAGGTCAAAAATTGTGGACCTCAATCGTGAGAAGACAAGTACCTAGGGTTAGTTGGAGAGAAGGATTCTTAGCAAGAGAGAGAGAGAGAGAGAGAGAGAGAGAGCATCAGGTGAGAAGAGTGATGAACTTGTCAGGCTCATGTTCCTGAAGACAATGTTGAAGAAAGCAGTGTAAAGGACTTCCTTGTCTGATCCACATGACTGGGATATAGATATGTGAGGTTCTCAGGACCACACTTAAGAGGTTTTTGGGCATGGGTGGACACACAGAGACAGCAATGGCCAGGGCAACAGAGCATGAGGGATAGAGATGATGACAAATTGTGAGAAAGTCAGATGGGAGAGTTGACAGAGGGTTAGACATGATCACACCATATAGGTTCAGAGGAAAGTCTTCCATTATCCTGAGGCTTTTGCAACTGCACAGTGCGGGGGCAAGCCCTTGCCACTCTCACAATTCTTTTGTCAAGGAGAACTTCAAGACTCCAGTTCTACCTGTATGGTCCAGAAACCCTACCCCCTCCACAAGCCACCTGCCAAGGTGAGCCGAAACAATCTCAGCCAGAGGGATCAGGGAGTCTGAAGCTGAGAATTTAAAAGGAAGTAGCAGTTGAACAAGAGTGAGCAAGTGGGGAGGAAATTGACAGCAAAATGATCAAACCTTGCAAGTGAGTACCCAAACTTACCAGTGGCTGGAGACATCTCACTTGTCGATATACCAGATGAGGCTCCAGAATCTATTACAGGGAGAAGGGGTACACCTCCCAGTGTAGGATGACGAGTTGATGTCAGTGATTCCGTTTTGTGTTCAAGTTTGGAAAGTATTCTCAAACAGACACACAAAGTAGCAAAACAAGCAAGTAGCTTTATTAAGTAAAGAATAGTACATTCTCAAGAAGGGAGAGTAGGCAGAAACAACTTATAGATGCACATACTCCACGGAGTTTCTATGCCCTTTCCTGCCTTGTTGCTGGGCTCCAGACCACAAGTATCCTGTATAGACAAACTATAGTGCTGCAGGTGCCTCTGATAAGAATCTAGCAGTTATGTAGGTGTGAAGTTTCCTATAACTAGCTCGTCTTTCTTGCAAGTGTGGTTTTGTACCAGCTACAGCCTTAAAGTTTTCCTAGTCTCAACTACCTATTGTATTGTAAGG